TGCTGAATGAATGGGTAAAAGTCCTGCAACGACGAGTCAAGTACACAGCCATTATTTTGGCATATTACAAAGTGATGCTGTGTTACATCCGAAATCAAGTTTCTTGACCCTGAAATCATTGCTGCAAAATGGACCCTCCTACTTACATGAAATATTTTCTTTTTTTTTTTGATGCAACTGACATCAGAAGGCATACAACCTATTTTGTTTCTTTTGGCGGTGCTGCTTCGGCTTTGAATCATCTCTATAAGTAACAAAAGTCTAATTAGTTTCTCTCCTACTCTAACTTAAAAGACTTCAAAAAACTCCTAGCTCTTTGTTTGTTTTTTAATTTCTTCAGGAGACTGAAAAAACTTTGAAAACTTTCTCTGTTAGAGGTAAAAAAGGAAACTGAAAGCCGGTTGGCCTAGTTTGAATCGTTTAGGTATAGCGCATGGTAAAATATTGGACGGATATAACTGCTGAGCTTATAAAATAGTCTGAATATCTAGTTAAAGCAAAAAGATTCAAATTTCTTTTTGAAGTTTGTGAGGGATTTGGAATTGCGCTTCGTATGCAGATAGAAGTAGACGTTGCTTAGTTGAGGGGCGATGGTATTGAGTCTTCTTAGTGTTTCAACTTTCAGGATGTTTACAATGAGTACATTAGATTGATTTGTGAAAAGGAGCCTCTAATTAGTAAGTAAAAGGTGTTGAAAATATATTTCTAAGGAGCCATGAGCCATCCATTTTTATTAGTTCATATCATATAATTTGTAATAAATTCAATTTGAAAAAAAAAAAAAAAAAAAAAAAAAAAAAAAAAAAAAAAAGTGGAATGTACTACGAATATACACCCTTTATTCAAATATTTTAATCATATACTTTTGAAATTATTATATTACAATTTATCCATTACATGAATAGTTTTTTTTTTTTTATTTTGCCCAAGTTTCTTACAATTTGAAAATCAGTATAAGAACGTGTGTTGGATTTTTATTTATTTTCTTAGCGATAGGAGTTAACTTCCTCGGGGAATAGCTGGTTGGTATCTCCTACTGACACACCCCAAAAAAACTTTTGGTGCTTTGGTGCCCTAAAAAAATAAAATATAGTTATGTAATCACAATAAGGGTTGGGGGTTTACATAATTTTTAAGCACCCGTAATTACTTCAAATGCCGTAGTTTAAAAGTATTATATAAGCATAATACCCGGATTTAAAAAAGAAAAAAAAATAAACAAACATAGAATTAAATTTTAGCGAGTCTAGAGCGGTAAAATGCAAACTACTAGACTTTAAATCAAATATTTTTAAAAAAACCATGGTCAGACTAAAAAAAGTTCTTTAAAGAGATTAATTAACATAATTTTTTTAAGCTTAAATATATTTCATGCTATTTAGTTATGAATCAATAAATTAGTTAATATTTTATGTGTAAAAAACCATTGAATAGAATTATTTATTCAGTTGTTTTTTGCCATTTAAGGATGGCTCAAATGGCTCTAGCTAACCTTTTTATGGCGATGTAACTCCATTAATTCAATTCAGAATTTTTTTGTGACCAACAAAAACTCATACAGTTACGTATTTCAATATATTGAAATATATTTCAACAAATGAGATATTTGGAGTAATTGCTTCATCAAATTTAGTTCTTGAAATAAAAATAAAATCGCGCAGAATTGCTAGCTGTTTTAAGCGTTTTGACTCTTAATTATGTTCCATCATCATTAAGGAGAAGTTTAGTAAATTACTTTAAAAAAATGCACATCAAATCATTTCTTTATCCATCAAAATTTAAAAAGATGCATTGGGCTAAAGGGGTTAAGATTAGATATTACCGTCCAGTTGGACTATGCAATTGATATGCCCAAAACGAAATATAGCTTGGGTCCTTGGTTGAATATTCATTAGATTGATTTGAGATAATAGTAATTGTTTTTTTGCGCTCATCAATGATGTGATTGTTTAAGGAGTATATCTTAATATCTTAATATCTAGATTTTCTATTTTTAAGAACATTGAAAACCCTTTATAAGATGATGAAGTTTTTGAAAAATTTGAAATTTTCATTTAGCTTCATATTATTATCAGAGGGTGAACACGTTTTCAAAAATCATCAAATTATTTATAACTTTCTAGGACCCGAAGCACTAGTAAATAAAGTCAATATTTCTTAATTAACCTGATTATTAGTCATAAATGTTTTAGTTTGATGACCACTATTTATAATAAAGAAAGAAAGCTTAGTTGTAAAGAAGCATTGAGGTTACTGAGTAAATAAAGCAAAGTTTTTAAAAGAATTTTCGCTAATTTACTGACGGAAGCTAGCAACAATAGGTTCAAGAGTCTAATAACAAATAAGGATATTGAAATAGTTTTTAAATTAATTACTAAAAAAGTTGATTTCATAAAATAGAAAAAATAAGAAAAAAAAAAGAAAACAATTTTTTGAATTTTTGATTTTCAAAAAACTGAAAATTTTAAAATGACCATTTTTAAAAACTAGAAAAAAAATCTACTTAAGTTTCTCATTTGATATTCAGGGTTTTTTTTATGTTGTAATGAGATAATAATGTATATAGTAAGAGCTACATGGTCTAACTTTACTAAAATTTGAGTCAGGGTGTTATATTCATTTATTTCATGTGGTGTCCATCATCCAACTTTATCTTTCAATGGCTTAGCTTTTTTTTTTTTTAAATAGCGTCTTAAGCAATGATAAAATTCTTAAATTAATTGAAATTTCTTTTCTCTATTTACCGAAAAATAGGATAAGATGTAGTATTTCTTATTTACAATGTTATTTTATTTATTTTTTTTTTTTTTGAAAATTTTGTGAATATACTTTCTTTTAAAAACAATCAATTAGAAAAGCCATCATGATAATTCCAAAACGGTAAAATTAGCCTTAGGCCTCAATTTTTTTTTAAAAAATGATTAAAAAAATTATTGATTTATTTAAATAAGGTTTTTGTAATTTGTTTTTAATTTTTTTTTTATTTTAAAATACGAAATGCTTGACAAAGACTTACAAAAATATCTCAATTAATATTAATTTTGAGAGAACCTCTCTTTAAACCATTGAAAAGATCTAACTTAGGAGGTCCTATTTGTACATCAAATAAAATATATTTTACACTTTTTTGGATAATGGTAGAGTATCATCCCTATATAATACTATACTTATTTTTTTTTTTTTCATTTGAAGCAACAAATAAAAAAAAGAGATTCTACTCGTTTTAATGTATCCGTTCTTATTTCTTTGTCAGACCTAACATTGAAATGTAACCTAGATCTTTCTTAATTAATTCTAATTCGTTGCTGCTGCTTTCACTTACGGATCCAGCGGCATTAGTATAATTGTTTAGCCATTAAACAAATAGTTGTGAAAAGCTGTATTAAACTTTTTTCCGCTTTGATTTTTTTTTCTAAGAATATTTCAATACCCTTTTTTTATTTATTGTTAATTTTTTTTTTTCGCGATTAAAAAATTGTTCCTTAGATCTAATATCAACATAACGTAGCCAATAGAAAATTTCCTAGGTTTGCTTCCATCGACCAAGTATTCGTAAATATGCACTAAGAATATCCTTTTTCCCTTTGTAAAAGAAGCATTGTTAATCTTCGGTACTTTTAAAAAATTTTTTTTTCTGCGATGAGACCTTATTTTTGCTTAAAAATTATGTACTATTAAGCTTTTAAACGTAATCATAACGAAAAGTGGGGCTTCTATTTCATTTATTTTATTTTATTTTATTTTATTTTAGAAAGTCCTTTTGATTCTGGAATCACTAGTGTGAGATCCTAGTTTTCGGCAAATTTTACCACACCCTGATGAGATGAGAATTTCTTTTTTTTTTTTTTTTTTTTTTTTTTTTTGAATATTAGTTACTCCTGAATATTCCAATATTAAGCTAACTAAGGTTAACGCGATAGTCATCGCACTATACATTGCTACAGATACTAACTTTTTTATAATCCAACTTTCTAACGCCTCCATTAAATACCTTAGGAGATACTTGCAAAGAATTTAGTAGATGTTTTGAAATTCTTTATTTTTTTTTTATATTTTTTCAAGTTCATTGCAGATTTTATTTAATGTTTGCTCTTTTTTCTTTTCTTTTCTTTTGTTTTTCTCCTTAAAATTAGTCTTGGGCTAGTATTAATGTTTCTGCATTAGTTCTAATTTTGCTATATTTCTTATTTTTTAAAGCTTCGATAGTTGCTTTACTGGCAACTTTAACAGCTGTTTCTTTTGTTTGATCTCCGAAATTTATCCTCATCCTTTTTATTATTATTATTTTTATTTTTTTTTGATTTAAACTCGAGTTTTTTTTTTTCTTTTTTATCTTTTTTTAATGAGCCATAACTATTCTTCTTTCTCTCTTTCTTTCTTTCTTTCTTTATTTCTGATGACTCAAATTTTTTACAGTAAAAATAGTTATGCTTATAATATATAGTAGACGACATATCTAATCGATTAGAATCTAACGATATCATTAAATTGGATTAATCTAAATACTTGATTCTTAATTTTGGTCCAAAAAATTACTTTATAAAGTAATTATCTAATTAGATAAAAATATAGCAGAAAGTTTTTGGTGAATAATTTGAATTTTTAAATTAAAAAAAAAAATTAAATGCAAGATCAATAAAATAAATTTTTATATAAATGATCTAGATAATATAAATAATTTCTAAAATATCTTAAAGTAAATGTGCTTCTAAATACATTCTCAAAAGTTTTCAAAAAATTATTTACCCGCATTTATAAATATTTATAGGTCTATGACAATTATCTTACTAGAAATTATTTTTTATTTATTTATTAATTAATTTTTTTTTTTTTTGAAACTAATTACCGCCTTTAGACAGATATGTGCAGGGTCTATTTGACGTTAAAATCGCAAAGCTTTGTGATCTTAAGATCTATATACTACATTTAACCGACCACAGTATCATATATAACCAAAATATTTTTTTATTAAAATAAAGACTAAAACTACCATTAATTTATTAAGTCTCTGCTGTCCCTGTGGTGGCAGATGCTGTTGGAGTGCTAGCACTACTAACTGCCCCAGATCCAGATCCAGCACCACTACCACTATTTTTATCATGATTTCTCTTGGTATCGCTTTTTCTGCTACTAGATTTTTTCGTACGAGCTGATTTATGACTCCCATTAGTGCCGCTATTACCAGATGCCCCCGTGCTATTCCCAGAACCCTCATGTCCAGCTGTTGTTCGCGACCGTTTAGTTCCTTGTATAGAAGTGTTTGATGATGAAGTGTTTGAAGTTGACCCAGTGCCAGTACCAGTACTGGTGGAAGCACCTGTGCCACTTCGAGGTTGAGCTGGTGATGCATGTGATATAATGACATCTTCATCAACTTGTTCTTCAACATTATGATCGTTTTTATTATGAGTATGAGAATTGGAGCTCCGACTTTTGCTCTTCTTTGTGCTCGATGTAGAATGCTGTTGATGCTGTGATTGCGGTTGATGTTGTGCAGGAGGTGGGGGTGGCGCGTTAGCACCGTCATAGTAAAAACTTTCATCACCGTCCGCGGGATTGGCGTTGTTTGTTTGTGCAGCATTTTGCACATCATTGTCATCACCTTGTACTAGTGGTCCGCTATAAACAAAAAACCCATCTTGAGTCGATGCCGCTTGTTCTTCCCACAATAACTCAGAATCATCAATAAATGGATCGTTAAGGTCATATTTTCCTTCGACTTTGGCTCGTGCCGCCGCAGCTTGAGCTGCCCGTTTATTTGCTGCTGCTATAGCATCCCCAGTTTCCCCAACAGGCGCAGGTACTGGTGTGGGTATTTGTCCTTCTGCAGGTTCATCACCATCATCTCCATCATCCATATCCATAATATCGTCATCACCGACAAGTTCCATAGCACTGCGCACAGCGTTAGGGTGAACTTTTTCGTAGCCATATTTTTTCTCTGCCAGTCGCAAAAAGTCAATCACAACGTTTTGATCCTGTGCAATATATTCGTCCTCGCTAGTCAAAGCTTTTCCCTTCCCTGTACCACCAGTGATATTACATGCGCCATCCGCTACAGTTTCGGCGCGATGTTTTTCTTGCTCTTCCGGAGACACACCTTGAAGCGGCATGTATACTGTAATGACAATACTAGGACGCAAAGGCCGTTGTGTGGTTGCTACTGAAACTCCTAACGCAGATCCTAATGTCGAAGATCCAGGTAATGCTGTTGATGTTGTAGATGTTACTGTAGTGCTATTAGGAGCAGTCGATGGGATAGCAGCAGTACTGCCAGTAGTAGCAGATGATGAAGTACCTTCAGAAACATTACTTGAAGTAGTAGAAGTCGCAGAATCAGATGGCGCCTTTTCCAAAGAGGATGACATTGGTGCCGAAGAAGATACAGATGTCTTTTTTGGCGTCGATAGCGGATTTTTGTCTTTTTTCAAAGACGCGGGTTGGGGTGTCATTGTATTATTTTAATGGTGGGGATGGGGGAAAAAAAAAAGTTTTGCTGACACCAAAAAAACGCGTTGGAAAGGTATACATATAAAATTCACGTGACATTATAATTAAATGGTTGCGCGGCTTGCCACTCGGGGGTAAAAGAAATAGATCCGTAATATGATTCATATATGGTTCATTATACGCTAAGAAAAAACTGAAATAAAACATAGAAATCTAGACTTTGTTCTTTTTTTATATTTCAAAAAAATTAAATCAGCAATCGCTTATCCTTCATTTCCGTTGTTAAACGGAGTCAAGGCTTGAAAGCATGTTTTTTTTGAACAGAAATGAGAGTCAAAGCCGTTTTTACAGTATCTTTGAGGCGTGGTGGAAAAAAGACTCGAAAAAGATATTTACACGCTCCATGTTGCAAAAAAATAAAAACAAATTGAAATATATATAAATTTGAGATTATCTTCGTTCTTACCAATTTTCTTTTTATAATCAATACAACCTTATACAATTTTTTTATATATATATTTCTAATAAGCTCAATTCATTTTATTCGAGTTATTAATCATGGATGCTCACAGATCACAACTTCTTAAAGAAATGAGTTTGGATTACCCGTTAACATTATACGAAAATGAATCTCTTGATTTGCTTAATGACACTTATTTTAATATAACAGACTTTGACAATAAGACTGAAAGCGAAAAAGGGGGAAAAAGTGGAATTCTGAAAAGAGAGCAGAGTAACGACAATGATATATTCAACGTACTTTTGGTAAATTCTGAACCTGAGAGCAGTTTTAATCAAAACAATAATTTTAAAAACCCAAATGATTCAAATAGAAAAAAAAATCCAGAAAGGGTTCTGAACACTTCTTTCCCTTCCGATGATTACTTAGAACATACTTTATCAATGCCAGATGACAGCAAAACTTTAGAGAGAGCAGTAACCCAGGAAACTGATATATGGTCAAATTTAAAAGATTTTGAAAGCTTAGAAGGGTTATTTTCTCACCGGGATTCAAAAATTTTAACTTTTGACTCTGGTCAAACAGAGAAAATTTCCCAACCTATTCAGATTCAAAATGACCTTATTGATGAGATATCCCATCACCGATTTTATGGATTTCATGGATTTCATGGGAACCCCCATTTAGATTTAATTCATGCTCCATTATTTACAGAAAAACCTAAAACTAACCATCAACTCTTTAGAGAGCATATTCATTCTAAAGGTCCAAAGTTTACTAGCACTCCTATCAAAGCTTCCGCAAAACGATTACTGAGTACATTTGTGACTCGAGAAATGGATCACAGAAATAATGGGCAATCTGAACAATTTGAATTGTATTCTAATAGTACACCAAACTTTAAATCAAACTTAGATCTAAATACAAGTCCATTTGCAGCCGAAAGCTCAAGTAAAAAGTTTAACGGAAATGTGCTTAATTCCCACACTAGTAATAATACACGAAGAAAATCTAGCCGCCGTTTGCTTGGGGTGGATCACAACAGGAGAAGTATGCATCAAGAACGTGACGAAAAAAAAAATAATAAGATGGATAATATATTGAGGCGTCCATCTTTTCCACCCCAGCAGAGAAACGAAGGTGTGGTATGGGATTACAAAAGTGAAAAGCAACTGAGCAAAAAGAGTAAGTGGAAAGGCAAGGGTATTTCTCAAGTTCCCTTTTCCGTCCACCAGAAACAGTATCAGCAACAAAAGTTAAAAAAAGAACGGCTGAAATCTGAAAGACCCCAAGAAGGTTTCACGTTGGATAGACTTTTGGAATATGGAGCAAGCCTCCATAAGGATTCTAAAAGGTTGGGAACAATTGACACTGATATTTCATGGAAAAATGCCTGCGATCGGTGGGGCCCTGCTTGGAAAAAGTTTGCCAATTCACTTTAATTTTTACTAAAAAAATTGAATTTATTATTTAATAATTATTATTGAGTTATACATGTACACAATTCCCTTTTTTTTTTTTTCTATTCTCTTTTAATGCTGCCAACAAGAAGCTCCAAAAGCTCTGCCTGGCGCAACAGTAAAAATTCATCTTCGTCAACTTCACTCCCATCTTTACAAAGATCCTTAAGATGATTTACAAAAGTATCAAACTTGCTAGCAACCTGATTTGTAATAGATTGAGTCAACGCACCAGCCGCTACAAAGTTAGCCCAAGCTCCGAGTACACTGAAGTCAATTTCTTCCTCTTCATCTTCCTCCTCATTGCCAGAATGCAAACTCACGCCATCATCTTCTCCTTTCTCTTGGTCTTGAAATTGTCTGGAAGAAATTTCAGTGGCCGATTTAATCGCCAATGAAATAAGAGTGGCTACTTCTTCATTCTCTTCAGCAGAGAGTTTTTCGCAGCTTTCTTCGCTCTGGTCCTGCTCCACAAGAAGGTTTGGTCGCACTACCAAATCGGGATTGAATGAAGTAGCATGATGTTGGGTTTTCTCATCATTAATATCCAATTTTTTCAACTTTTCATCCAACAGACTTTCTCCATCAACTGTATTACTTTGAGCAGATTTGTTATGTTGAGTTAACTTTTTAGCTACAAGGAAATCCTTCAAATGGCGAATAGCCATTTGTTTCGACTCGCTAAACGGACAAGATTTAATTGTATCAACAAGGTATCCATAGCGCATAGCATGTGTGTGTAGGGAAAGAATTCGCAAAATAACTGAGTAAAGTAAAGCCTTAAGATCTCCCTCACGATCAGGGTTGATATGGACTGCCATCATGGTAAGTAGCTGAAGGTATTCAATAAGCATTTTTTCTGAAGGAACCTGGTGCAATAATTGCTGAGTAGATTTAACGTTTCGAAGAGTCCACAAAGCCCAAAAAGCCAAAGCGTCACAAACACCAGAGCTAGGAATAGCAGCAGTTTCTGATTCGTTATCACCTTGAAGAGAATATGGACTTGCACTGCCTAGAATAAACTCATGTGTTACCTTTATGAGGTCTTGAAAAGACTTGAATGCTGGACTTTCTGGATTATGTCTGTTTTCAAAGCGAACCTGGGTAACAAAAAGTAAAATGCCCTCTTTAGAAAGATGAACGTTTTCAGGGGCCTTAGCACCTTGAAAATCAAAAGGCAAGGAATCCGGTCTAATGGTACTAGTTTCAGAAGCAGTATCGTCGCTGACTGTGTTCAAAGTATCTGGGAGTGAAAGGTTATTCTTATCGTACTTTTCAACAAGATCAGAAACTAATTCTTTAAAAAGAGAATTAACATCCATATCTATCGACATTCCAAGTTGTTCAATTCGTTCCGAAAGATCATTAATTTGAAATGTATAATTCTGAAGAACATAAAAGCGTTCGCGTTTAATTTGCTGGATCTCAAGAGCAACATTGTTACGAAGCTCAACATAAAGGCGATGGGACCATTTGACGGATGTAGTTGAAAAGAGGATTTCGAAGAGGAAAGTTATAAATGATTGTAAAAGCTTTCTGAGAAGTTCTTTTTCCATCTCGGTAACAGAATCATTTAAGAGAGGGTTATAGTCACGAACGAAAAGATATAGTCTTCGAACAACAAAAACAAGACCATGAAGGGAAAGCCTAGGAACATTTGAAGCAAAGAAAGAAAGAAGACCAGTTGTTGCAGTGGCGAGAAATCGAGATGGGTAAGAGGTAGTAATTCTTTTAAGGGTGGTTGATATGGTTTCGAAAAGAGCCACAAACTTAAGATCTAAGAACCGTTCGGCAACTCTAGCTCGGGATTCAAAATCACTCTTGGAGTAGTTGAATTGGTCGTCAAAGAATGGATTTCCTGTATCATCGTCAGAATCATCGTTGTCGAAATAATCATATTCTTCTCCTTCCCCTTCTCCTTCTTCATCTTTATCTCCTTCCTCATATCCTCCTTCACTATCTTCGTTTTTTACTTTTGGGGATTTTTGATGGATTTCATTATAATTAGCAATCACAGATAATCGTGATAAAGTTTCTAGTGCTTTGAGGTTAAGTTCTTTGGGATTTCCTTTTTCGGCGATATGGGAAAAGGTTGCAAGAAGCAGTTTAATAAAGGGAGTATCGGCTAAGCTTTGGTGATCGAAATCAAAATGTTGGTCAAAATATGGAAGTAGCAAATCTGGAATATTCCAAGCAATATTGTAGGTAAGCACATCGCTTGATCGAAGAATATCAAGGAGAGTTTGAAGCAGTAACACACGGTCAACATCAGAAAACCTAGTAGGAACTCCCATGTACACATCGAGAAGAGTGGCGTATGAGACGTAATCTTTCAATTGCTAAAAAAAAAGTGAAAAATCATATTAATAATAATTTCAAATTTGAGAGGCGTAATAATTGATTTATCCAAGAATAAATAAGCATACATACCAGAGTTAAGGTTGCGGCCTCACGCAAATTGTAAGTTATTGTGGCAATGTCATAAGGGTCGCCCTTGGTGGCTGAGTTTTCATTGCTCGACGCCGCTTTCGAAGCCTCCTCTGAAGCTTGAGTCGAAACCTCGGGATTTGAACTGTTTGAAGCCATTGTGAAAAAAAAAAAATTGAACAATGAAAAGAATTTAGAAACTATGACGTTTGATGAGAAAATTCGGTTGTCGGCTGTGATATATACAATTGAGATTTTTAAAATTGTAGCATTTTGGTGGTGGTGGGAGTATTTTTGGAGATATATCTTATAGATGTTAAAGTATATTTGGGTCCGGACATATATCTACATGGGTCTAAAATATATAGCATTAACCGGGAAAATACATTTTAATTTACACAGCCTTCAATTTTTAAGCTACAATTTTAGTAGGACATTTTAAAAAAAAAAAAAAAAAAAAATAACTATTTCATCATTATGTTTTTCTTCTTTTTATTTTTTTATTTTTATTTTTTTTTAATACTATTGGATTCTATATTTTAAAGGCCTTTTTGAAAACTAAAACAACAAAGTTTTCGCCACTTTTAATTCAATTTCTTTTTTCTCTATTATGGATAATAAACTGGCTTTCTCTGATCAATATCACTCGCTTCTGCTCTCTTCATCTTCTCCACTTTTTTCGACATTTTCATCATGTTCATCTCCAAGCTTTCTTTCAAAGCTTTGCGGTGATACCTGCTGGACTGCTCTTGATTCCGATGGCAATCTGAGCCCATGTTTTGTCAATTCAGTGATTTTGATAGTACCTCCAGCAATAATCTTGCTATTTGGCTTTTTTGCCCCTTATTCTCACGCCGAGACGTATAATTCCACAACAAATCTACCATGGTATTATCATGCTAAAATAGTAAGTCTTAAAATAATGCAAATATTAAATCAATTTTTTTTGAATCGAATTTTAATAGTTTTTCTTAGATTTTGGCAACTATGGCTGTTCTGTGCAATACATTAGTGGCCTTTTTAATTTACCAATCCCCTTTCCCCTCTTTGTCTTATGCTTTCCTGACGCCCTGTATTTCAGCTATTTTACTTTTACGCGCAATTACAATTCATGTGCTTGAAGACATTAGAGGCGTCCCCAGCGGCGTCCTTTTGATTTATTGGCTTGTTTCAATAATTTCTTATTCGGTGAAATTATTCAACAGTTTTCAAACAAATTCTACTGCTATTACTATTCTTTACGCCTTTCTGATTTTAATATCGATATCCGTATTTCTTCTCGAGTATATCCCTTTTAAAATTTTGATTCAGCGTCAACCACGACAATACGGAACTTTTTCTTCTTATTCGTCTATCCCCCAAGATCAAAATGACATAGAGTCACAGCCTTCAAATACCCCTATACCTTCTAAAGCTCTTCTTGATAATGCCGACATTTTTTCAAGGTTTGCTTTTGCTTGGATGAACCCTCTTATTTCCAAGGCAACGTCTGGTGAACTTACGCCCAGTGATTTACCAGTGGTAGATTCGAACTGCAATTCTACTGCTTTAGCAAGCAAATTTTTGTTTTACTGGACTTCTAGATCTTCCGACAAAATTTCACAACTCATCTTAGCTCTTTTTAAATCTTTTGGTGGTCTTGTTTTGCTCACTGGAGTTTTTGAGTTTGTAACAGATTTACTTGGCATGGCACAACCATTTCTTCTCCGTTATCTAATTCTTTTTGCCCAATCCTATTATAGAAATGACGGTACTCCTCCTCAAGCCCCTGAAATTGGATTTTACATCTCACTAGGAATGTTTTCCTTTGCAATGGCAAAAACATTTGCACGTACCCACGCATTTCTTGTCAATATAAATCTTATGCTTTCTGTTCGTGCGGCACTATCCTCTGTGATTTACAAAAAGGCTTTACGCATCACCCCTGCTGAACGCCAGCAAAAGTCCACTGGTGAAATTGTCAACCTTATGTCCACAGATGTTATCATTATTGTTCGCATCTTTTACATGATCTCTACTCTTTGGCAGGCCCCCATCAAGCTTGCCATGTGCTTGACAGGTCTGTACCATTTGCTTGGCCCTTCGGCCTTTGTGGGGCCCTCGCTAATTGTTGCTGTTTTACCCCTCAATTCATACATGACCAGTCTTCTTAAGAAAAAGCGCAGAAAGCAAATGAAGTATAAGGACATGCGCATTCGCCAAACAACAGAATTTCTAACAAATATTAAAAGTTTAAAGCTATATGGCTGGGAGCCACCACTCATCGACAAGATCAATTTCATTCGAAACAATAAACAACTTAAGAATCTTAAAAAACTTGTTGTATTTAGTTCGGTCATTGATTTCCTTTGGGTCATAATCCCATGTATCATTACAACTTCTTCTTTTGCTGCATTTGCCTATCTTGAAAATCAGCCATTAACTCCTGACATTGTTTTCCCTGCACTTTCACTTTTCTTCATGATGAATGGACCTATTTTGGACTTTCCAAAAACTTTGGTCAGTTCTGTTAATTCCCTTGTTTCATTTCAGCGCGTTCGCGACTTTTTGGTTTCTGATGAACTTTCAAAGAAAAATTTTGAGTGTGTCCAACCTGGCACCATAAATTACGGGGATACCACTGTACTTATCAATAACGCATCTTTTGGTTGGGACCATGATACTCCTTATCTTAAAAATATTTACTATGAGGCTTGCAAAGGCGAACTTTCATGTATAGTTGGTAAGGTTGGATGTGGCAAAACTAGTTTCCTCAAGTCTTTACTCGGTGAACTTCATTGCCAGTCTGGTTCAGTTAAAATTAAGGGTAATATTGCATACGTTTCTCAAGACATGTGGCTGATGAACGCATCTTTGAGAGAAAACATCTTATTTGGTCACAAGTACGATGAAAGATTCTATAACTTAACGATAGAATGTTGTGCATTAACTCCAGATATTGAGCTACTTCCTGATGGCGACCAAACCGAAATTGGTGAAATGGGCATATCTCTTTCCGGTGGCCAAAAGGCTCGTGTTTCTTTAGCTCGTGCTGTTTATGCCTGTGCAGATATTTATCTTCTTGACGACCCTCTTTCAGCAGTTGACGAGCATGTTGCGGCTCATGTTATGGATAAAGTACTGTCTTCAGAAGGTATTTTGGGGACCAAAACGCGTATTTTTGCCACAAATAGCATCCATGCTCTACAATGTGCAGATACCATCGTTTTATTAAAAGATGGGCACATAACCCAAACGGGTACTTTTTCCGATATCATGAATCCTAATGCCCCTGATTCTGATATTAAAAATCTTATTAACGAGTTTGGTAGACATAGCGACGATGATGCCTTACAGAGCTTCGAGACTATAGTAACCCCGTTGGAAGAATATGATGAAGCTGACGAAAACAGCAATAGCCATGAAGATGATGAAGTTGAAGATAATGAACATATTCCTCGTCATATGAGGTTTCAAGCATCTCATCGACGTACACACTCTTCCCACACTTTACGGCGAGCAAGTTTAGAAACTCTTGACGATAGCTTTAAGGGGAAGGGCGATAAAAATAAGTTACCACCATCTTCGCATTCACCTTCACCGGCATCAACTATTGTGGAAACCATGCCTCTTTTAGCTCCACCTGTGAAAAATCTCCCTAAACGCACTGGAAAGACTGAGGAAAAGGCTGAACAAGGTCATGTCAAATGGCAAGTTTACAAAAATTACATTCAAGCCTGTAACATTAAAGCAGTCATTATCACAGTGGCTGTAGTTATTATTTCATCTCTGGATAGTGTCACAACAAAATTCTGGCTCAAGCATTGGTCTGAACGCAATAGCGAAGAAGGTGGCAATGTTAATATTAAGTTCTATCTTGGAACGTACTTAGGCATTGGCATGACGTTTGCATTACTTGGCGTGGCCCGTAAAGCTGTTGTAAAGATTTATTGCGGTTTAAATGCTTCCAAGAAGCTTCATGAGGAAATGTTACAAGCAGTTGCGCATGCCCCAATGCAATTTTTTGAAACAACTCCAACAGGTCGTATCATTAATCGATTTTCCAGTGACATTGTGGAGCTTGATGAAGATTTACCGTCCAACTTTTTGGAGATGATTTGGGTCATTACTGATATCTTAATTTCCGTTGTGGTTATCGTTTACGGTGCTCCAATGGTTTTATTCATTTTATTTCCTTTGGTTGGTGTATACGCTTACTATCAAAAGTATTACGCATCAGCTTCACGTGCACTTAAGCGATTACTAGTGATTTCTCGAAGCCCTATTTACTCTCATTTTCAAGAGACATTAACAGGATCATCAACTATCAGAGCCTTTGATCAAGTTGAGCGGTTCGAACATATTAATGCTGTTAATCTAGATTACAATTTACGGGCAATTTTTTTATTCCGTGGTGTAAATAGATGGCTCTCAATGCGACAACAAACCATAGGTTCAATTTTAACTTTTGCAACAGCCATTTTTGTAACCTATGGTGCTATCACACGATCAATTAGTCCAGGGTTGATTGGTGTTGTTATGGGTTACTCTGCTGTTTTGTCTGAAGATATCTCATACTTTATTAAAACAGCAGTATCGTTGGAGACTAGTATTATTGCTGTCGAGCGCATTATGGAATATTGCAATCTTAAAGGAGAAGCTCCTGCAGTTATTGAGGAGACACGCCCTGAGCCTCAGTGGCCTGAGAGGGGTACAATTGAGTTTGTGGATTACTCGACACGGTATCGCGATAATTTGGATCTTATTCTTCAAGATATTTCTTTATCGATAAAATCACAAGAAAAAGTCGGTGTTGTAGGCCGAACAGGTGCCGGGAAAAGCTCTCTAATCATGGCACTTTTCCGTATTATTGAGCCTGTTGAGGGCAAAATCATAATTGATAAGAAAAATATTTCTACACTGGGGTTGGCAGATTTACGGTCACATCTTTCAATCATACCTCAAGACTCTCAAATATTTGAGGGCACTGTACGACAGAACCTGGACCCATTGAGTCAACATTCGGATGTGGAGTTGTGGCATGCGTTAGAACTTGCCCATTTGGCAGATTTTGTTCGGACGACCTTGTCTGGTGGTCAGGAGGGTCTGGACGCATCACTGAAGGAGGGAGGATCCAACATTAGTGCTGGCCAAAAGCAGCTTATTTGTCTTGCACGGGCGTTGCTACATGACTCTGCCATTTTAGTTTTAGATGAAGCAACAGCCAGTGTAGATGTGGCGACAGATAAACTTATTCAAGAAACTATTCGCAAAGAGTTTAAGAATAAAACTATTGTGACGATTGCCCACCGACTCAATACTATTATGGATTCTGATAGAATTTTGGTTTTGGAGCGCGGACATATTGCAGAGTTTGATACTCCAGCCAATTTGCTTGCCAATCCTCAGAGCGAGTTTTACGCATTGTGCAAGCGTGGTGGATTGATATAGTTTTTATTCCCTTTTTTTTTATTATTATTTTTCTATTTAACTGTTTACTTTTAACATTATAGAATTTCATTTACCAAGTTTTTAGAATATCGCTTTCAGTTATAAGATCTGTTCGTTTAAGCTGAGTGAGGATTTGCTTTTTTTTGCTTTCAAAAGTATCTGGTAAAAATGCTTCACACATTTTCAGGATAGTTTCGATAGTAAACTCACGCTTTGCGCGTTTGCCAAGTGAATATGTAACAAACTCTAGGGTATTTCCAGAAGCATCAATTACAGTTTTCATATCACGCTCAATATACATGTCTGCTTGAAACTTTCTTATCGCTTCGTCCCAAGAAGAAAAGGGAGAAATAAAGTGTGATTCCTCGCCGAGATCTTCTTCAAATGGGGAGCCAATTTCATTTAGGTAGGCATCGAGGTCCGATTTATTTAAGTGATCTGAACGTAAAGCAATTAGAGCAATCACAATAGCCACTGTTGCAGAATAAATTGATTCTTGTGGGGGTGTATAAGAAGCGACGATAGAACGAAACTGTTCGTCCAGGGTTGATCGTAAGATGAAGTTATCTGATGTGACGACGTTGGGATAATATCGTTCAACACCAGGTGAAGTTCCTTGAATAAGAGTTCCAAATTGATGACTTGCATTAGCTTGTTCTGATCTAATCTGTTGTTCAATTCTTTGAGAAGGGTTAGGAGCACTTGAGCTTGGTTCATTTTCAGTACGTTGTTTTTTACGGCCGCGTTTAGGTTGTGATCCTGAGGGCCCGGCTGTTGAAGAAGCAGCTTTTTCAACAACAGCAGGAGGCATCCGGACCAGCCGCATGCCGAAAACATCCATGAGATGTTGTTCTGCAGTGGTCAACATTTTTGTAAAGTAAGGGCCACGGGTCTTGGGTACATTCATGGAGGCCATTGTTGCACGTATATCTTTGACGCGAAGAGGTTGCCTCGACGCGCCGCAAGAAATGGCAGAACGGACGGTTTCTTTAGCTAATCGGTCAACTTCAACCGTCAAGCTTTCTTCGGCAGCTGGAGGGGTGGATTCTTCTATTTCCATGGTGATTTTGGTTGTTAAAAAGTTGGATAGTTTTTGGAATATTTGAGGATTTTTGTGGAGGGAAAGAAAAAAAAAAAAAAGTAAACAAAAAAAAAAAAAAATTACTACCATGTGACTTAAAGCATATCATTTCAATGCTGTTTGTATTCACGTGATTTTGGCATTAAAATGACAGTGCCACTTTTTTTTTATTTTTTATTTTTATTTTTTTTTTTTTTTTTCCAACCATCAATTTATAAATCCAAGCATCAATAAAATCGACATTTTAAGGAATCTCTTTTACTACGAATCATATATATATATATATATATATATATATATAAATATATAAATACCCTAAGATTTTCCTAATTACTTTTTTTTTTTTTTTTTTTTTTTCAATTGTTCATATTTAATTTCATTTCTGTTCAATCAAAAAACAATCTAAAATTCTTATTACAATGGTCACCTTAGTTTCTAACGACAACAAAAAGTTTGAAGTCCCCAAGGACGTTGCCTACAAATCTGTTCTCATCAAGAATATGGTTGAGGATATTGGTGATGAAAATGCTGAAATTCCCCTTCCTCGTGCCCAGGCTTCTGTTTTGGAGAAGGTCATTGACTACTGCACATATCACAAGGACGATCCTCCTCTTCCTGCTCCTGTCCAGAAAACCCAGGACGACCAACCCGACCGCATTCGTCGTACGACTGATATCATTGAATGGGATTACAACTTTATGAATCTTGAGAATCCTGTCATTTTTGAAATCATGCTTCTTGCAAACTACCTTGATATTGTTCCTCTGTTTGAGCTAACTTGCAAGACTGTGGCAAACAAGATTAAGGGCAAGAGTCCTGAGCAACTCCGTGAGATTTTTGGCATTGAGAATGACTTTACTCCTGAGCAGTTGGATGAGATTCGTCGTGAGAATGAGTGGGCCGAGGACCCTTAAACATGTCAGTCATTTCGTTTAGTTAATGGTTTTTCTTTTCTTTTTTTTTATATTTATATTTATAAATTTAATTTAATTTAGTATTCTTCTTTTTTTTTTTTTTAAACTTTTCTTAATTGATTGATGAAAATTGTTTAAAACATGCTTGGTTTCTATTGTGAGCAATGGATGTTTGAAAATGTGATGATGTAAAATACCTATATATATATATGAAATCGAGTCAGTGATTAAGTAGCTGATGTATGTTATTTCATTGCAGCTAATTTATTTCAATGCAAACATCCATCAAAGATTTAATATTAAAGGACTTATTGAATAATATATAGATTGAAGTTTCAATAAGAAGTTTTTAAAAAAAAAATTGTTTTTATTTACAATGATACTTTTGCAATATTTTTTTCTATATATAATTTTTATTATAATTTTAAAACCAAAACAAGGAAACCCCCCTCCCTCCCTCTCCCCACCTTTTTTTTTTTTTTTCTAAACAAACAAAAATTGTTAACAAAATAATAACTAAGTTATTTTTAAAATATTTTTAAAATAATCACATTATTATTATGTTAAGTTAACATAGAATAATACCTTTCCCATCATAACCATAAAGTATCCAGATCTAAATTTGTAGCTATTACTATAATTGAAAAATAAATGAAAAATAAATGAAAAATAAATGAAAAATAAATGAAAAATAAATGAAAAATAAAATAAAATAAAATAAAAATTTTACAAAATCCTTTTTTTTTTTTTTTTTTCATTTTAACTATTAATAGTTGCTATCATCATTACATAAATTTGACATTATAAAATCTCCACCTCTTTAGGCCACTGTTGTGTGTGTGTGTTTGCTTGAAATCTATATTTTACACTAAGCAATATCTTTATATAATTGCATTTTCCCGTATATTGCATAAAATTCATGTGCCTCTTCCTTTTTTTATTTTTTATTTTTATTTTTTTTTTTATTTACTTCATTTGGTTTCCTCCATGAAAATTATCAACTTATCCAGCCAGCACACAAACGTGAAATCTCATTTTTTTTTTCTTGTTATAGACATAAACACTCTTCCAGGATTAAATGACAACTCCAGGTCCAGGAACCGGGAATTCCGGTGAATCCAAGCCTATTGGATTTTCACTCAAAAAATCGTCATCTTCTTCCTTGTCTTCCTCGAAATCCGCAGTTGCCTTTTCATTAAGCACAAAACGAGAAAACACTACTACCAACATTATCGATACACAACGATCTCAACCCCAGTTACAAAACAAAAAACGCGTGGTTTTGGGTGAGAATCAGGAAGATGATAGCGGGAAAGTAGAAACAGTAACTGGCTTTGATGTACGCTTAGGACACGCCATCACAGCAAACGGTGGCAATAAAGATGAAAAAGCTGAAGAATCAAAAAAGAAAACACTTGTGATTCCTGCAGTACCCAACAAGGATTGGAGAGCAGAAGTTCGACGAGTTAAAGCATGGAATGCGTATATACCAGACGAACAACAACATACTCAGGGAACTGAAGAGGATCTGGAAGCTCTGGTCGAAGCTGAAAAGAAAAGACTAGTCATTGGATTTAACTCAGGTACACGTGAATCCACCACAGATGACAACAACAAAATTAATCTTGATTATGATAATAAAGACACTACACAAATCTCGGAAGATGAACTTGCAAAACGTGCCCTTCTTCAAGGGAAATCATTTACAGGTACGGGTTCTTCAAACCTAGTAATTTCACAACCTGGCACATACACTCGTGATGAAGATGAGTCTGATGAAGAGATGGTGGAAAGAATTACAGAAGAAGAAGCATTTGTTCGGGATGTTTCACAACGGCCAGAAGCCCCAGGGTTAGACGCGTATGAGCGCGTTCCTGTTGAAGAATTTGGAGCAGCGCTGTTACGTGGAATGGGCTGGAACGGGAAACTAGAAGATGAAATTGAAGATCAAACAAAAAAAAGTGTTGGTGATACCAAAAGTTCATTATATGGGTCACGAGATCCTGAAGTTGCGCTGAGGCGGCCTGCTTTTCTTGGGCTTGGTGCAAAACCTGCAAGTAGCGGGAACGGATTAGGAGAAGCCGGGAAGCGTGGGTCTGGAAAAAGAGCTGTGGACAGAGTATATGTTCCTGTTGTAAAAGTTGATCGAGAAACGGGGGAAATTGTAAAAGATGACGAGGAAGAAGGGGAAGAAGAAGAAAAGGAAGATTTAAAACAAGAAAAGAGGAAAGATGATAGCCGGGATCATAAAAGAAAAGAACGTGGAAGAGAAAGAGAAAAGTCTCCTAGTTATGAGAGCAGGAGCAGTATATATAGGCACAGAGAAAGCGACAAAAATAGAGACAGACATCACGACAGAGACAGAGATAGGTATCGAGACAGAGACCGCAACAGAGAAAAGGACAGAGGTAGGGATAAAGATAGAGATAGAGATAACTACCGAGAAAGAGATCGATACAAGGACAGAGATGAATATCGAGACCGAGACCGAGACCGAGACCGAAGCAGTCGGAGTAGTCACAAGGATCATAGAGATCATGACAGAGAACGAGATAGACGCAGAGATGACCGGTATAAAGATGGTGATAGGAATCGAAACCAATCCCGCCGTTATTAGTATTTTACTCTTTTTTTTTTCTTTTTTTTTTTTAAAAAAAAAAACATAACATTAAACAAAAATTAAAACTATATACAATTTTTAATACTCTTCGAGGAGCTTTTTTTTTTTTTTTTATTTTTTTTTTCTCTCTCTCACTCTTTCTTTCTCATTTTACGCAATAGCACCGAGACTCAGTAAGAAGAGTTGGAGTGCAAGTTGCATACTCCAGAACCCAACTTTGCGCATACGCATGGCACGAGCCTCGTCGTCCATAATGTTTGCGGCAAAAGCATCATACACGGCAGCACTAATGTCATCCATAAGACGAGAATCATACATGGTCCATGAACCTTCAAAGTCATCGTAGCGCTTGACAATACGGCAATTGATGGGAATGTATGTGTCGCGTGAGTTGATGTAGGCTACAATTGGCCTAATGAGTGCATTGTTGATATAAGTCAAGTCAGTAGTGAATAATGGAACCACAGCCCGAGAATTGTTGAGCTGGACACGCAAATCTAAAACAATGTATTTGTTTGCAGTTGGTGTATTTGTGGATTCAGCACCTGGAACAATTAAACTAGAATTCCATTCAAGAGGACTTGCATCGTCGTCCTTCTTTGAGCCTCTCTTCTTTTTATGAGAACTTTTGCGGGCATCCGTCATTTGATGGATACCTGTAGTCCATGACGCCTTGATGTCACGAAGAACCTGCGCAAAGTTTATATTTTCTTCTTCCGCAGGGAACATAATGTCAGCCATCATGTCGACATTACCACTTTCAATCCAGCCAAATGGACCTTGGACTCCACGGTTAAGGTGATCAATGTTGACGCCATCAATACGCAGGCGATTCACCTTGCGCCAAGGATTACCATTTCCCTCAGATTCTGAATCAAATGAAGAAACATTTTCCAGCTGGCGAGGATGGATAGTGAAAAGAGAATTATCGTAAGAGCCTGACATATTGTTTGCTGAAAGAATATCGTAAAATAGCCAGTGCTTACGGAGACGTGGCAGTTCACAATTAAAGATACTGACACGGAAAGGTCGAAAGCCGCCAGGGTGGTGAAGTGTCACAAGGGCATCTTCCATTTTAAAGTTCTCAATCTCAAAGTCTCCTGGCTTGTGAATATTTTTGTGGTTTACTGGATCGTCATTGGGATCCCACTTGACCATACGGCGGTCTACAATTCCACGTAGACCTTTGACTTCAACATCTTGAACAATACCGCCACCATTCATCCACTTGGATAGTGATAGAGTGACTGAAACGGTATCTATTGTAAGGTCAAATTGGGTATAATTTCCAGTATCGACAGGTTTATTGGGAGAATCAGAAGATGAAGATGAACCATCAGTGATTTCACTAGATGCTGCGGCTGCAGCTGCAGCTTGTGAACCCTTTTGAACACGATGATTACCGCGGTTGGGTCGACGTGAAACGAAAACTTTATTAAAGGAGATTTTCCCATCGCTCCAGTGTGGAACAATTGCATTTTCGAAAACTACAGTGAGTCCAGTGTTTTTTGTAATGAAGTTACCGACCACTTGAGCAATATATTCTTGGGCAAAAACGGTGTTCATTGTAAAAAGAAGAATTGAACAAAACGTTGTAGTACCAAGTAGAATCCAAATAATATTTCCAACAAGGATCCATGAGAAAAATGCGCTGATGTCATCGGTAGTAATAGGTCGTACCTGTTTGAATAGAGCCCATCTCCAATGAATATTGAGTCGTTGAAGCGTGCTGGTGGCACGTGCTAAGAGCTCAGCTTTGGATGGTCGGCGCCCGGGCATTCGTGGCATCCAGGACTCATAATAACTTGAAGAAGACGACTTGGTATTATCGGGCGATTTTAATTTAGACTGACCGCCGGGTATGTAGTAGTGTTTAATATCAGTGGGGTATGGGGTTTGGATTTGGAGATGTTTTTCATCGGCGGGTTTGGGCAATTGGATTGAAGGTGTCCTTGGAAGCGGGAAATACGAGTAATGGTTGATAGTATTTCCTGGAAGAACATTTACAAATTTTTGCTGCTGATCATCTTCATCAGCTAAGTTGCTTTGTTGTTTATTGGAATGACGCGAGATAGACGTGTGGAAAGCACGCAAGCAAGGTTTCCAAGAAAAAGAAATCCCAGACCCCGAAATGCTTCTAGCTAAATTATCTGAAAATAAGTTAGATGTTGCGAAAATAGCAACAGGTCTGGATCTATTTCGAGTAGAAGATGATTTTGATGAAGATGAAGCCACAGATACGGTGACAGCTGTTGGAGCTTCAGCCTGAGGAATGTTGCAAAAAAGTAGAGTGGCAAATCCGCTGCGTCGGACTACGACACGACGGGAGGGATACTGAGGAATGGATGCTGCCCAAAAGCGACGAGCAACAGCCATCCAAGCAGCAGTAGATCGAAGCCATGAAGAATAAGGTGATGAATATGAAGTTGGTAGTTGAAGATGTGTTAAAGCATTGTATCGGGCCCACCCCGAAATCCTGTGGACTACGGCTGATTTCGCCGGTCTCGCAGAAGCGGATGAAAAATGAAGTTTAGCTGGGGATATCCAGCAAGAAGAAGGTTTCATTAAGGAGGGGAAAAAAAAAAAAAAAAATAGAAAATGTATAATCTATCTTATATATATATATATATAAAAATCTATCGTTTTTTTTTTCCATATATAAGTTGGATACCGGTCAAAACGGTTGCGGGCCCATGGCTTGAAGAAAAAGTTTTTTATTTTTGCTAGACGGGGCTTATTTTGCTTTGCTATATTTTACTTTTGCTTTGCTGGGCAGGGCAGGTTGGACAAATTTGTGCTTGAGGGGCGGCGGGCTGAACACTAAAAAAAAAAAAAAAAAAAAAAAAAATGACGGAAAATTTTTGGGAAGGCCGTTTAGAGTCAGTCAGCCGCAGCAGGTAATTATTTTAAGTACTCAAATATTCTTCTTAGGTATGAAGTTTACACACACACACACACACAATTTGTTCCTACAAGCTGTCCTAGGATTTTCTTCTTCTATTTCTTCTTTTTTCAAAAAATAATTGCAGACTCGGTTCAAATAACAAAGTCGGGTCTCAATAAGAATTAACTACATTAGACTTTTAAAACCTTTTTAAACAAAAAAAAAAAAAACAATTATCTATTTATTTCATTATATTTTAATGATCATTTGAGCTTGTTTTTAGATTTTTTTTTTTTTTCATCTTTTAGACCCCACTGCGTAGCCAATCACCGTAGTGGCCATTAAAGTCTTCCCATAATTGTTGTTGTTGTTGACGTTCCCATCCTTTCAACCATCCCAACTGGGAAAAAAAGGCCTCGCTTTGAAATTGACAGTTTTCGATCTCATAATTAACTCAGAACTTCTCTTTTTCTAACAGAGTTCTTTTTTTTTTTTATTCATAAACTAAAATTCCACTTTTTTTTTTTTTTTATTTCTTCTAATGTTATTACTGAAAACTTTCTCAAGATCTTGTTCCTGTAGTATCCCACTTGCTATTAGGTCCGGGTCATTTCAACACAATCAACGACTTGCTTTCCATTCGGCTCCGCCACGTGGGTTCCCTAGACGTCCCCCACATAGGTCAGCAGTGTTCCGAACTACACAACAACCAATAAATTCAAATAATACAACTTCCACGGAAACAAAACAATCACTGTCACCGACTTCTTCTTCATCATCATCAAATGAATCAAAAACCACCAGCACCACTACATCATCATCTTCTTCTTCTTCTTCGACAAAACCTATCGATCCTCCAGATCAGAAAACTCTATTGAATAAAGATTCTGAAGTTACAGAACCACCCAACAATGATGCTGCTGCTGCTGCATACAACAACAAGAGTATTCATGAATTACCATTTACTTCGCCATTTTTCAACTATGATTCAAAAGATGGCTCAGGGATCGAATCCATCAAAAGTTCCAAAGACAATACTACCCCTAACACAACCCCAAAAAGGACATTTGAACAAGTTCTTAAAAATGATACAACTCCTCTACATGCCGAAGGTCATTGCTCGTTAGAAGATCGTGATGGATCTGAAGTTTTAAACCTGCAAGAAAAAAATTCACCCAAATCTGACTCACAAGAAGCCTCATCTATAACTACTGATGACTTATCGCAAAAAGCCATCAATGATCTGCCTTCGGTTAAAGAAGCTAAAAGCTTTGGTGCTACCAAATGGCTTAACAGCAACTTAGACAAATTACAACGATATATATTCACTGCAAGTCAAACCCTTAACGATTTCACCGGTTATTCGTCTATTGGAGCACTTAAAAAATCTATTGAGCGCCAAGAATCTTTTCTTGCTGACTGTCGCGAACGTGTGAGAACTTCTAAAGAACGTTTTGCCCAAGCAATTGCCAGTCGTTCTGCATCTCAGCGCGAAGTAAACGAACTTCTTCAACGTAAACATATGTGGTCACCCCCTGATTTGGAACGATTTACTGAGCTCTACCGCAGTGACCATACTAATGCTCATGCTGAAGCTGATGCTGAAAAGAAGCTTGCTGAAGCTGAACGTGAGTCTGAAGAAGCCCAAAACCAACTTTCACGACTCATCTCAGCAAGATACCATGAAGAACAAATTTGGAGTGACAAAATTAGACGGGCTTCTACTTGGGGGACCTGGGGACTTATGGGTATCAATATTTTCCTCTTCATTATTGTGCAACTTTTTGTCGAACCTCGCAAGCGTGCACGCATGGTGAGCTCTTTTGAAGATGTTATGGAGAAGCATTTTGAAGAACAAAAGTCTGAACAACAAGCAATCCTTGCTGCTGCTGTAGCAGGGTCTACCAAAAATGCGGATGCTAAAAAGGATGAAGAGTCATCTGCCACTTGGTCTCAAGATGATCGTAAAGTACTCGAACGCATAAGTGAGCTTGCCGAATCTGAGAACCAAATGCTGCAACGCCTGACAGCCGTGCTGCCGGGCATTTCTGAACCTGCAGAAATATTTTCTGATGAGGAACTTACTTCTTCACCCTTTGCTGAATCAGAATTGTCATCTTCCTCCGTTTCAATAGGATCTCTTCCTCCAGGCTCACTTACCTGGAAAAACCTTCCCCATCGTTTACTTGGAGACATTATTCCATTTGTCAAATCTCGCGTTAATGGTGGGAAGAAAAAGGCACAACAACTTCAACAACAGCAGGAAACATCAGGATCTTTGCCTTCTGGTGATGATGATGATGATGGACATGGTAATGCCATCATTACTAATAAGCACTACGAACTACCTGAAGCTTTGGTTGTACGACCAATTGAGTTTGCAGGTGTTGCAGGAGCAGGCGCCATGATTGGCGTGCTACTAGGCGTGTTAGTCACACTTATCGCCAAAAATTAGACATATTTAAGATAGATTTAATGAAAACAAGTATCGGAGATTAAAAACAATTAGCAATCAAAAAAGTAAGGTCATTTAAAGTATATATATAGATTCAATTGTAAACTACAATTGAAAAAAAAGATATCATGCGAACTCTGTGGATCGAACACAGGACCTTCAGATTTTTCTAGACTAAAGTTGTAACTTCAGTCTGACGCTCTCCCAACTGAGCTAAGTCCGCAACACCTTAAAAGCAACTTATCAATGTTTAGTATATATTGTTAAAATCTTTTAAAACCATAAAATTTATGCTTTTTTGTTGGTTTTTTATGAAGAAAGATAGTCGAAGGATCTTGAGTAATATTACTCAGTTTCGCACAGGCCATGGCAACTTTGGCGCATGGTTTAAAAAGTTTGGAATTGAAAAGGATAGTTACAACTGCAAATGTGGAGAGCTGGAAACAGTTCATCACATTTTAGTTGAGTGTCCTTTGCTTGAAGAGGAAAGAAAAGGACTGAAACGGATATCTCCAGAGATGGACATGTCGACTCTCTTAAACAGTTTAACTGGCTTACAAGAGATTGTAAGCTTTATCTCTGCTTGGAGGGATTAAGAAATACAATTACAGCGTTGATGAAGACAAGTGGAGATAGGTTGGGAAGGTTTGGTTATTTTTAACCCCCTGTTCCTCGTAAGCTGTCATCAGGACTTATTTTCGGGCTGTTGGAGATGCAATGTTGAAGCCAAAATTAAAAGTTTATTATGAAAATGAAAAGATATATAGTATGGACAAAAAGGATAGCGCAGATGCTGATGTTATATAATTCTATAACCCTTGAATAAAAACAAACAAACAAATTGTTGGTTTTTGGAAAATTTATATAGTTTAAACAACAAATAATAACTTTTTTAATCTAAAAAATACTAGGTTTAATTTCCAGGTATCTCTGGATCCTTAAGGGAGTGTAAGAGAGTACACACCTCCACTGAACCCCACACTACTCTGGCCAACAAGGAAAAGAGATTCTTCAGTTAACTCTAATTAACTCGTTGGCAATTATAAAATATATATCTGGCCGAAAAGATTAAGGAATATACAGAAATAAAATAAAAAAAAAAAAAAAGATAAGTGGAAATGGGTCGGGTTGAGTTAGAAGCAACAAATTGGTTTACTCTATTCCTCGTAAATGGAATCAAATCTATCTTCTGGGCCTCCAAAAAAAAAAAACAAATTGAAACAACCCATGGTAAAGGGGCATACCAATGAGAAAACATGTAACCAATGTTCGTCAATTAATACGATAGTTGTTGTTGTTGTTTTTTATTCATTAAAGCAATAGTGTTGATGATGTAGATGCTGGTGTTGGTGTTGGTGTTGGTGTTGGTGTTGGTGTTAGTACTATATTTATATAACTCTCTTAAAAAAAAAATTAGAAACCCTTCAATTATAAATTAATAAGTTTAACTGTGTGAAATGACGCAATGTTTTTAACTTAATCACATCATAGTCATTTTGTTATCAAGCCAACTTTATGTCTTATCCGAATCCGTTAATCATTCCAAGTTTAGTTATTTCTGGGGAAAGAACGAGATGCATGTGCTTAATTAGATCTCGGTTCCCCTCAACGCTCTGTGGCTTGCAGATCTTGGTTTTTAATATCTCGTCAATTTGAAAGCCCGGTATATATAAATCAATCTTTTTCTCTCTCTCTCTCTCTCATTTTTTTTTTTTTTTGGAATTTTCAATTCAATCATTACTTTTTACAATAAAAAAAACAACAATAACATCCCTACACTATTAATACCACCCTATTTTTTTCAAGATAACCTACAATGTCTGTTGCCAAAGAATTTGAACTTGCTAATGATAAATACAGTGCTGGCTTTACTAAGGGAGACTTGCCTTTGCCTCCTGGTCGCAAAGTTGCAGTTGTGGTGTGTATGGATGCGAGAATTGACCCTGCCAGAGCATTAGGTCTTGAGGAAGGCGATGCACATGTCATTCGTAATGCTGGAGGCCGTGCTGCAGATGCTTTACGCAGTGTCATTATTTCACAACAATTGCTGGGCACTCGCGAGCTTGTTGTGATTCATCATGTAAGATATACTACGTCGTTCTAATTTTTTTTTTTTTATTTTAATCCTTTCTAATATTTCTTTAGACTGATTGTGGTATGCTGACGTTCCGTGATGAAGATTTACGCAAAAAGCTCCAAGAAACAACACATGTGACTGCAGATCATTTTGCATTTTTGCCATTTGCTGACATAGAACAGAGTGTCCGAGAAGATGTTGCCTTTTTCAAACACTCTCCGTATGTGCTTGATGTGCCCACGACCGGGTACGTTTATGATGTCAAGACCGGTGCCATTAGGAAAGTCGAGGACAATTAAAAAAACAAAAAACAAAAAACAAAAAAAAAATATATATATATTAGTAATATATTACCATATAATTATATAATAAACCTAACCTTTTATGTGCGGCTCAAATGAACCGTGGTTCGTCTGTTGTATGTTTAGGGAAATTCATCACACACACACACACACACAGATTGCTGAAATTTTTCACCTACCACTTCCCATTCTTTAGACTACCACCGCGTCTACCATCACAAAAAAAATTTTTTTGAAAATTTTCTTCCTTTTTTTTTTTTTTTTTTTATTTACACAAGACACAAATACCCGTATCTTCGTCCACAACCACAACATATCCCTTTCTCATATTTAAAGGCTCAGCTTCCCCAGCATAACCTTTAATCTTGTTTTTTTTTTGTGGCTGAATTATATTTATTCTTGTGTTGAGTTAAAACAAAATGACTTTGATTCTCGCAGAAACTTCGGCAGGTTACGCCCTGTTCAAGGCTAAGGACAAAAAGATTTACAAGTCCGACAAGCTGATAAATGAGCTTAACACCCCTGAGAAGGTTGCTGAGCAGTATGTGCTTTTTTTTTTTTTTTTTTTTTTTTTTTTGAATAAGAAGAAAGATGATCTTTTAATTAATTTTTTTTTCTAACAAACCTCTTTTTTCTAGATTCAAAATTAAGGCTTTCTCGAGATACGACTCTGCTGCCTCTGCCCTTGAAGAAGTCAACTCCGTTATTGAGGGTAAAGTCTCCGAGAAGCTTTCTCACCTTCTTAAAGAGGTTAACGACGACAAGAAATCTCCTCTGATTGTTGCCGATGCTAAACTTGGTAATGCCATCAACAAGCTTCCTGGGCTTAACTTTGAGGTTGTTGCTGACTCTCACTCTCTCGATCTCTACAGAGCTATCCGCGAAAACCTTTCTACTCTTCTCCCCGGTCTTACCGACAAGGACTTGTCAACTATGTCTCTCGGTCTTGCCCACTCGATTGGTCGTCACAAACTTAAGTTTTCTCCCGAAAAGGTTGACACCATGATTGTTCAAGCTATTGCTCTTCTTGACGATCTTGACAAGGAGCTTAACACCTACGCTATGAGAATAAAGGAATGGTACGGTTGGCATTTCCCCGAAATGGGCAAGATTGTCCAGGACAATATTGCCTACGCCCGTGTCATCAAGGCTATCGGTTACAGAACTAACGCCAGAGATGCTGACCTTTCCGAGGTCCTCCCCGAAGATGTTGAAACTCACCTCAAGGAGGCTGCTGAAGTTTCCATGGGTACCGAAATTTCCGAGTTTGATCTCATCAACATTCAGTCTCTTGCTGATCAGGTTATTGAATTTTCTGAGTACAGAGAAAAACTTTTCAACTACCTGAATGCCCGTATGGCTGCCATTGCTCCCAACCTTACTGCCCTTGTTGGTGAACTTGTTGGTGCTAGACTGATTGCCCATGCCGGTAACTTGATTTCTCTTGCTAAGGCTCCTGCCTCCACTGTTCAAATTCTTGGTGCTGAAAAGGCTCTTTTCCGTGCTCTTAAGACTAAGCATGATACTCCCAAGTACGGTATCATTTACCATGCGTCGCTTGTTGGTCAGGCTACCGGTAAGAACAAGGGTAAAATTGCACGCATGCTTGCGGCTAAGACCTCGGTCAGTTTACGTTATGACGCTCTTGCTGAAGATCGCGAGGATGTTGCTACCATTGGCATTGACGACAGAATAAAGATTGAGAAGCGATTAGGTGCTCTTGAGGGCCGTGATATTCAGCTTACCACACGACCATCGGTCAACGACAAGAAGCAGACCAAGATTGGTTTCTCTGACAATACCGGCTACAATGCTGATGCCGACTCGGTACCTAAGGATAGCACAACCAATGGCGCTGCCAAGGACTCTGATGACAGCGAGACTGGCTCTGATGAGGAGGTCGAAAAGAAGGAAGTCAAGAAGGAAAAGAAGGAAAAGAAGGAAAAGAAGGAAAAGAAAGAGAAGAAGGATAAGAAGGAAAAGAAGGATAAGAAGAGAAAGAGAGAAGAGGAGGAAGAAGAAGAAGAAAGTGAAAAGAAGAAGAAGAAGGACAAGAAAGAAAAGAAGGAAAAGAAGGACAAGAAGGAAAAGAAAGAAAAGAAGGAAAAGAAGGAAAAGAAGAATAAGGACTAAATGATAGGTCAAAAGCATATATAAACTTAGAATTCGATGGGAAAATATAATTACGGTTTTGAAAGTATTTGATTTTTGATATATAAATTCGCTATTAATTGATAAAAGAGTTACAAAAAAAAACAAGATTATTTTAATCAAATTTGGCCTGGAGAATTTCTTTAGCCTGGGCCTCGTTATCAATGGCAACTTTACCAGTATCCCAATCAACTAAAATAGGGTACTTGTTAATTTTAATTACCTTGCTAATGACACCAGAATGGTCAACTTCAGCTTTACTCTTATCCTCAAAGCCACCCAGCTTGGATGCTTCCTCAATTATGGAACGAGCTTCGGGTGCACCTTGAGAAGAGCCTTGTAAGGACTTGCTATGAGCGATGATGCGCCATTGCTCTGGTGTTGGTACAGATTCGGTAATATCAACTGTGAAATCGGATTGAGTAGCTTTGGGGAACTTTGTCTTGATGTAGTTGACAAGAGAGTTGGAGATGGCAGATTTGGGAGCATGGAAAAGAGTCACGGCGCCCTTGAGTTTATGAAATGCACTGTACATGGTTGAATGAGATGTATGAAAAATATGAATTGAAGATAGAAGAAGAAAAGAGAAAGTAGATTTGTGGAATATAGAAAAGGGAAGCAAAGTAAAAGTAAAAGTAAAAGTAAAAGAAAAAGAAAAAAAGAAAAAGAAAAAAAGAAAAAAAAAAAGAGTACAAAGTTTACAAAATGGTTGCGGGATAAAAGTAAAGTTAAGACATATGTCGAGAAGAAGAAGAAGAAGAAAAAAAAAAGGCACTTTGCTGAGTCAGAAACTTTTTTAAGAGAGTAAAATGTGGGGAGATTTTAATGTTTAAAAAAACTTATGTTACGCTTTTCGGGTGTACCGGCCGGGACTCATTAACAAAAGTACCCGGAACTTGAATCAAAATAAAAAGCACCGGAAAAGTCCACCCTGCTGAAAGTCAAGAAAAAAAAAATTGGGTCATTCTGGGGTATAGGCATATCTTAATGACTCAGAATTTACATAATATTGCTTTAGTTTATTTTTATTTTTATTTTTTTTTAACAATTTCATCTCCACCGCCCGTTGGGTGAGAGTTTCTTTTGGTTTATTACTTATACTCTAAACAAGTCCACCATTTATTTCATTACCACATACAACACAACCATGAGCGGGATTTTTGAAGATAACATTCGCACAGACCCTGATCTTGGGGTGCTTTCGAAGCTGGTGGGTGAGCTTTTTACACGGCTTCAGGATAATCGTGCAGCCATGGACAAGCTCAAGCGTCAGGCTAGCACAGTCAATGACAAGGAAGATGAAAAGTGCGGCGCACTTAAGAATGCAAGCGCCAAACATTTACGACCTACCTTTAAGCTGCGGCGTGATACATTAAAAAACGGTCCGGGAGATCTGCTGGCAGGTAATTCAACGGACGATGAAGATGACGAATATGAAGACGGAGAAGATTTGTTGGCAGGTAATGGACAACCGCAACTTACAAGTAATCAAAAAGTCGAAGCATGGCGTAAAACTGTTGCCCCTGGCGTGGACAGTATTGATGACGATCAGGATGAGGGTCCTAGTAGCAATAGTAATATTGCAGATCAACGAGCAGGACTAATGGCTCCCCGAGTTTTTGCAACAGCCCGAGGAGCTGGGCTGGGAACAGCAGATAGCAGTAGTAGCGGTGGGACTAGTGGAAGTGAACTAAGCGATGAAGACGAAGACGAACCTAATACAACAGCAGACGAGGACGAGGGTCCTTGTTCCCTGTATTATGGTGAGGATGCTGCAGTGCCAAATCCAGTAATGACGCCTGGCCAAGTACGTGCTCTCAACGAAGCAGAATTGTCACGAGCAAACCTTGATTTGCGAATCGAATTGCAGCGACTAGAAGTGATTGAAGAAAAAATCATGGAAGTTTTAGGTCGTTATGCAGTCACATTGCAAAATGTTGTAGATGGAACACGCGCATATCTACGAGAGTATTCTCATGCATCTGAGACACTTACAAATACTTATGAAGGCCGGATCAGAGAAGAAAAAATGTTACAACAACGGCTGTTAGATACCCGCAAAGCCATGAATACTGAACTAAAGAATCTGCATACCCTTGCGACGCAGTCGAGCGCAGCCATTGGTTCAGATATCGATGCAAGGCTTGAAAAGAAAGCTACGTCTGAAGAGGATAAGCCTTTGCTGAATTACACAACAAGAGTTCCTCCATGAACGTCACATAAAATCTCTTCCCTTTTATTTTTATAATGACGAAACGAATAACATAATGTATTATTATTATTGGATTTTTTTTCTTGTCCACATGTTAAACTAGGCTTCTGATGCATTGAAAATGTCAAAAACTATAAGAAAAAAACTTAAATGTCTGATACGTAAAATGGTAAAAAAAAAAGACACAACTGTAGGTTATCTCGAAGTTTTTAATCTTTAATTGGTTACTAAGTTTAAGTGATGCAAAATATATCTTGATCTTATTTAACAATAAGATAATTGATTTCAAACGAATAAATTTATTGTCTCTAACCAACACTTTCAGATCAGCACCAAAATAACTGATTCTCCAAAAATCTTATAAATTTATAAACAATCCCAAAAAAAAAAAAATGAACAGCACTAATCTTAATAATAAATTCATAAAAACTTAGCATTCTAATATTTCAAAAAGTTCAAAGATTGTTCATATTCAGCGCTTGCGTGGTCATATGGTATCATTTTGTGGGTATAAAGATAATTTAGCTAATACTTTACTAATTATTTGGTAATTTAGCAGTATTTTTTTTTGTAATTGATCATGTGCAATTACTACTGCCTTACCAATTTTAATTTTTTTTTGACAAATGCATCTCAGCCCCATTATAAACTCCATTAGAAATCAAGCCTGAATCACCAACTAAGGCTTTAACATTTGTAAAGGTTTAATAATAATGGTTCGCTTACTTCCAGAGGGTTCTTTTAAAGATATCCAAAAACTATAAAAGGACCCCAATATTCTTATCACTTTCATTTTTCCTTTTTTTCTTTACCAATAAAACATACAAAATCAATTCTTTTTTACTTTAATCTCATCAATCAACACATAACAATTACAAACAAAAACAAAATATTATCTATGCCAGCTTTCACCCCAAGATCAATTTTCAAATCATCTCCTGCTCTTGAGCAGTCCGAAGGTGTTGGCGCTCGTGTCCGCAGATCAATTGGCACTGGAGCTGTCCGCAACTTCACTCCTTTCCTTATGCTTGATCACTTCAAAGTATCTCCTGAAGCTGGGTTCCCCGATCATCCTCACCGTGGTCAGGAAACTATCACTTACATGATTAAAGGTCATGTTGATCATGAAGATTTCACTGGTTCTGCTGGTACCCTGGGTCCTGGTGATTTACAGTTTATGACTGCTGGCCGAGGAATTGTCCATGCTGAAATGCCCCGCATTGATAAGGATGCAGATGGGAACATTGAAGCTGTTGAAGGGCTTCAATTGTGGGTAGATCTTCCCAAGGAACTTAAGAACTGTGAACCAAGATACCGTGATTTGCGATCCAATGAGATCCCCATTGCCAAACCAAACGACAAAGTTGAAATCAAAGTCATTTCTGGTGAATCTTATGGTATAGATTCCGTTAAAGATCTTGCATACACACCTGTGTGGCTGCTAGATAATAAAGTCCAACCAGGTGGTAAGATTGAGCAACCTTTGCCTATTGGGTTCAATGCGTTTCTTTATATTTTGGAAGGGGAAGTGATGGTCAATGGCCGTCATTTTAAGCAGTTTACCAATGTTTTTTTCAACGATGATGGTACAGGGGTAGAAGTTCGAGTTCCTGATAGTGCTAGTGGACCAGCACGATTTGCAATTGTTGCAGGGGCCAAGCTTGACCAGCCTATTGTGCAGCATGGGCCATTTGTTGAAACATCACGCGAAAAGATTATGAATGCTTTTATTGATTACCAAACAGGGTCAAATGGATTTGAACGAGCGGTTGGCTGGGAAAGCGAAATAGGCAAAAGAATGCTTAGAAACTTTTAATGAAGAAACTGTTAAATGAAACAATTGTATTAATTAGTGTATTTTTAGTCAGGTCATATATATATGAATGAATTTATTTTATTTAAACTAGTTTATTTTTTTTAAAAACTCAAGTATTAAAAAAAAATCTTTTGAATAAATTTTGTAGAAAAATGCATGCAAACTTCAAATGCATAATCTTGAAACTTCTAACATTTAACCGGTGTTTCAAGTTTTAAACTTTAAAAAAAAAAAAGAAAGAAAATAGTTAAAAGCACTTAATTTAAAGTGATGCCCATTTTGAAAAAATTGAATGCACAACATGGCTAAAATGTAAAATAGAAGCTGTAATAGAACTAATTATAAGGTTTAGTTAACCATCCTTTAAAAAAAAATTTAAATTAAATTAAATTAAATTAATGAGATAGATATGTATACATGTACTGTATCTGTTATGTTATGTTTAGTTAATTTTCCTCAACAATAGAACCATTTCCATCAGCTGCAGGACCGTCAGGGGCTGCGCCAGGGGAAGAATCCTCCAGGAACAACATCAGGGGTTCCACCAGGACCATGGTAGAAACTAGTCATGATGGAGTTAGTTACGCCTTCCAGCTCCTTTTTGTCTATCAGAGGGCTCTTTGATTGTAGCATTTCGGTTTATATCATTGTGCAGCATGAGGAATTTGTTGAAACATCAGACGAATAAATCATGAATGTTGTTATTGATTATCAAACAAGGTTAAATGGATTTGAGCAGGCGGTGGAATGGAAAAATGAAACAAGTAAAAGAATGCTTCAGGGGTTTTTGAATAAGATAATAATGATTATGTTGTAGTTCTAATGAAATTTTTATTTTTGTATAAATTGATTTTAAAAAAAAAAATTGTAAAATGATGGATTATATAGATAATATACCAGTAAATTTATTATTATTCTATGCTTTAAAATCAAAGTTTTTCAAATACGAAAATTATCATTAGACTAAAGAATTGCAAAGTTAAACTAAAATGAAATATTGTTATTAACTACAATTGTTGTTTCTTTCTTACCCTCATTCAATCAAAGATACAATATTCCACACTAATATTCGAACGGACATTTACCGAGCTCTTAAATTGTTTAAAACTTGCAGTTTTTCGATGCAATACTAAATCATGTAATGCAAACCAGTCATTTATACCTAGTCTTTGCATCTGACAAGAGTTTTAAACTAGTATTTGATTGAACAGCTAAATTATCAAAGCTAAGCTTATGTTAAATAAGAATAAGTTAGCTTGGATCATGTTAATTATACTTTACAAAATAATAACTTAATCCCTTACCCTTGTGGGATCTTGAAGTTTGTTTGAGAGATTTACAAATTTTGATATTTTTCAGTGGGTTATTAACATATTTTCAAAGGGCTTATTAAAAAATTTTCAGTTTGATTATTAACATATTTTTAGAGGGCTTATAACCATTTTTTCAATGGCTTATTACCATTTTTTTAATGGCTTATTTTACCACGTCTTTAAAATATTTCAGAATTACGCAAGGGTAAGGGTCAATTATTATTTATTTGGTGAAGCTTTAGTTTCTGAGACTTAATAAAATAGGCACCAACTCACTTTTAGTGAAAGTGTATGGATGATTATAACAACATGCTAAAACGCTTTTAAATTCTGCTGTTCTAAATAATCAAAAATTTTGTTTATAAAATCCATTTTAAACTAAATTAAATGAGTTATTATATGTGCAGTATTTGCTATGATTTGTCGATCTGCTCGACAGTAGGACTACTGCCCTCAGCTGCAGCACAGCCAGGAGCTGAGTCAAAGATTCTCCCTGGCATACTGCAATCAAGAGCACCACTTGTGCATTAGTAGAAGCTTAAGTCATAAAATGATCAGCAACGTTTTTCTAGCTTCTATTGTCTGTCAGTATATACTTTTCAGTAGTAGCAGTTAGGCTGCTATCGTTGTGCAGCATATAGCGTTTCTAGAAACATCATGTAAAAAAAAATATTATGAATTAATTTATTGATTAAAAACCAGTGTCCAATGGGTTTAAGTGGGCCATGGGATAAGAAAGCGACACATGTAAAAGAATGCTTAAAAAAGTTTGAATGAGATAATAATGATTATATTGTACTTTTAGTTAAAATTAAAATTACATGTGAGTTAACACAAAACATTGTAAGATCATGATCAGTTATATAGATGATCTACTTATAAATCCATCTCTCTATGCTGCAAACAGTTTTGATTTGATAGAAGAGTACTCTGCCACTAATTGCAAAGTTAAACTACAATGAAATATTGTTGTTATCAACAATTGTTCCTGCTCTCCGTTGATCTATCTTACAATATTCTATTCACTATTTCTTTTTATTAAAGATTACAGGAAATTAATATCAAAAAAAAAAAAATTTTTTATAATGATTACTTTTTTAAAATTTTAATTGATTGTGAATAAATGAAAATTAATCATAATTACTATTATTCATTAGAGTGAGATCATTGAAATGAAACCCTTACCCTTGTGGGATATTGGAACTTTATTAGATTTTTACAAAATTAAATACTTTTCAAGGGCTTATTAACGAATTTTCAATGACTTATTAATGAATTTTCAACGGCTTATTAGCATTTTGACAATGGCTTAATAGCATTTCGACAATGGCTTATTAACATATTTTCAGAGGGCTTATTAACGAATTTTCAATGGCTTATTACCATTTTTCAATGGCTTATTTTACCACGTCCTTAAAATATTTCTGAATTACGCAAGGGTAAGGGTTTATTATTATTATTATTATTTTTTTGGTGAAACTTTAGATTCTGAGACCAAATAAAATAGTCACCAATTCACGTTTAGTTAATGATTATCATGTAACTGAGACAAATTTAAATTCTAAAATTTGAAATAATCAAGAATGTTATTTAAAAAAAATATTTTAAATTAAATTAAATGAGTTATTATATGTACAGTATTTGTTATGTTTAGTCGACCTCTTCAACAGTAGGGCCACTGCCCTCACCTGAAGCACCGCCAGGAGCTGAGCCAGGAGCTGCGCCAGGGAACCCTCCAGGGAATCCTCCAGGCATACCGCCACCAGGAGCACCACCGGCACCTTGGTAGAAGCCTGTCATAATAGGATTAGCAACTCCTTCCAGCTCCTTTTGTCTGTCTGTGAACTCTTCAGTCGTAGCAGTCTGGTTGC